TTTCTGAATATTGCTTAATCTTAATTTTTGTTCTAAGATTTATACTGTAACTTTGACTTAACAATTTATTTAAAAGACATTGTATGGTATCTTCTCCTAGTATTAGAAACTTTAAAAAGTGTATTTCCATTTTCTGTTGACTTTAAAAAAACCCCCAAAAACAGAGGTTTGTACCTATGTTGTTTGCTTATTATTTATTGCCTATATCTTGTAATATGAGAAAATACTTTGGCAGTAACAATACACAATGTACTAACCATTGTTACTCTCCTAAAAAAAAAAAAGTATCAGAACATAAAAAAAAACAAAACAAAAAAACCCCCAAATACTATTTCTATGCTTCCTCCTAAGGGGGGGGGGGAAGAATTGTGTGGTCAGTATTTGAGTCTTCCACTCCTTACTTACAAAGTGTTGTTACCATTTTCTCTTTTCCTTTTCCCTCCCTTCCTTTCCCCTTCCCCATACCTAGTTCCCTTTCCTATTTGAACATTTTCTTCCTATATCACAATATCTATTACACATTTTAGTCCTTATTTACCCTTTGGGTTTCTCACAATACAGAAATAATGTGATCTTTATAGATGATCTACATTACTTCCTTATTTATTGAAATGGGAATTGAACTCAGGACCTTGTGCTTGCTAGGCAGGTGCTGTGCCATTGACTTATATCCCTGCCCCTACACAATCCTTAATAACTGTATTATAAGTGTCTCATCAATGTGCTACTGTATAAATATTGATGTTACCCTTGCTTTTTTTTTTTTAACAATACTTTGACAAAGAATTCTAACTCAATATAAATGTTTTTACCTGGGCCACCAATCTTATTTCATCAGAGCTTCTTCTTCTTTTCTTTGTTTTTTGCAGGGCAGTAGTAGGTAACTTAATGCTGCTAGGAAAACCATACAGAATTTTTTTACCAGTCCCCCCCTCCACCATCTGTTTGTTCATCTGCTTTTTTTTGTGGTACTGGGAATTGAACCTAGGTCCTCATGCTTGCCAGGCAAGCACTGCATCACTGAGCTATATCCTTGCCATATTCATCTGTATCTTGATTAATTTCATGATTTTGATTTCTACTTAGAAACTGTCATCTTTAAGAAACTGTTATAAAGCAAGTTTTCAATGAGAAGAAAGGTTTGTACTAATATTGTTTAGATAAGATTTCATGTCTACATCTTGTCCTCTGAATAACTACTGTGAAAACAATATGCAGTATAGTATTGTAACTGTCCAGCTAACCTACTTTGAAACTGTTTCATTGCCATTTTATCTTTTTTTCCTCATTAAAATCAATAAAAAATAAAACAAAGCAAGTTTGGCTGATTTACTTAATAAAAATGTACTTCATAATGAAAAATACCATGATTAATGGATATCATAAAAATATTGTTTTTCTTTTTAAGAATATTATGCAATTTGCTTAAGCTTTTAAATAAGTTTCTGCTTAAAGGTCCTAGGGTTCCTGAGCAAAGCTGCCCTTGATAGGTTTTACCTGATGGTATATTATCTGTCCTTCAATGTGCAGACTCCTAGGCTAAATTCTACTGTGGGAGCAAACATTAAATGACTATGTCAGGTTGTACAGTAGTCATGTGGCATTTTAAAAATTGTTCAAGAGATAACATAAATCATATACAGACAAGAACAGAATAGCACCTTTGCTTCAGTCAATGTCCCAAGTGGAAGACATCCTAGGATACAGATCCTTGCCTTTCTTATGTCTACTCATATAGTTTCATGGTTTATTTTCCAAGTTCAGTTCCATGAGTCAAGTATTTCTACTCTGTGTTTTTCTCTTTGCCTCAAATTCAACAGACCTAACCTAAAACCAATCTCCAAATCTTATAGTTGAATGAGATCCCAGGGGACATTTAATCTTGACTCCTGGCTCCATGAATATACAGCTTTCCAAGAGGAAAGGGATCTTTAATCTCCTTTTCCATGCCTTCACCTTCAGGGTATGTTCTTCGTCCAAGGAAAGGATTTTGGGTCCCTAAATATGAGTTCTATGCTCAGGTTTTCCCTGCCAGGAAATTATCTCATCCAGTTCCTAAGTCTTTCTCAGCATCATCTGATTACTCACAAGATCATCTTAGTTAATCAAGTATGGGATGGGGCAGGCCTAAAAATTTTCAACGGCTTTTTTATTTTAAATTATTTTTTGTATTTAGTACTGGGTCTACAGGGTCTCACTATACAGATTGGACTCCTAGTGATCCTCCTGTTTTCAGCCTCCCAAGCACTGGCATTACAGGTGTGTACCACCATGCCCAGTCTCAATCACTGTCTCAGTGCACCCCGGGGTGGGGCCACCACAGCATGGCTCATGAGGGATCAAATCCTAGTCCCTGCATCTGCCTAAGTAGGTGCTTTAATTTGCTGAGCTATCTGGCTGGCCAACAGCTCTTTCTCATAGTCCTATATTTCCTAGGATATAACTGTCAGTTTATCATATTAATATTGTAAATTAAAAAATTAACTTGGCCAACTGAAGATTTACTTTATTATTTTAATTATTTATTTGATACAGGGTCTCACTATGCAGTTTGGATTTGTAGTCATCCTCCTCTCTCAGCCTCCTCAGCGCTGGGATTACAGGTGTGTGCCACCACACCTGGTTTCTGTGGCTAGCATGGCATGCTCAGGGCTCCAGGTGGGCAGGGCATGTGGTACCAGGGATCAAACTCAGGTCTTTGTGCTTGACAAGAAGGCACTTAGACTGCCAAGCTATCACCTTAGCCTTGAAGATTTTCTTTAAAACTCGTGTTTTAAATATTTTTGATTAAACACCCCAAAGTAGCCATAAATTAGAAATAAAGTTACAGTTTGTCAGCAGATAAAGTGATAATTGTGTAGTTTATACATCACTTACAGACTCCTGTGGTGAAAAAAGTGTTGTAATGGGAAACGACATTTTAGAGAAATTTTTGTAAAATCTATATGGTTCACAGGGTAGGGCTCATTCTTTTAAGTTTCTTATGTTTTTTCATATCCTCTGTGTAGACCTAGTTTAGCTTTCCCTACATAAAACACCAACATAATCTTTTCCTATTACACTAGTAAGGCTAGCACCTTAAAATGTATGAAAGATGCAAAAGTAAAACAATTTCATTTATTTTCAAATTATTTGAGTAGGATGGACAGAACCAGGATCAGTGAATGTTACATATCATTTCTTCACATACTTAACAACAGAAATATGCCAAAATATGAGTTATGTGGAGTTCATTAAGGCAGTTTCCTTTCTGATCTGAGATAGAGCATCAGAAGAAAATCACTCAGTGATGAGCATATCACCAGCTACTAGGCTGTGTTTCTGAAAGCTGTATTACTGCAGTGAAATTTACTAAACAGGAGTGACTCATATACTGCTGCCTAGAAGTTTGACTACAGGAGCCCCCAAGTGGGCTAATTCTTTTCACTTTGCACTCTTCAGTTATAAAAGCTTTTTTTTTTTTTTTTTTTTTTTTTTTTTTTTTTTCCCGGAATGCCTTTAAGGCATGACTGGCTGTCTTGTGTTGTGGGGATCGAACCAAAGCAACCGGAGCCTGACTGCTTTGTTGAAGCATCCACTTAAAGAACTGAGCTACGGGGCAGGCCCCCAGTTATAAAAGCTTTAACATTCACAGATTGTAGCTTCAACCTATATGAGAACTGCTACTTCCCAGAGAATTCAATGAGGCAGAAACCAATATAAAGGACAAAGATTATTCTTATTCAGATTTTTAAAAACATGAGCACTCAAAAGAAGTAAAAATAGGTACTCAAAAAAAATTTGTATATGCATGTTGATAGTGGCAGTACTTCACACCAGCCGAAAAGGTGAAACAGCACAAGTGTCCATCAATTGATTCATGGATAGATAAACAATTTGTGGTAAGTAGATAAAAAGCACTAAGTAACTGACACATGTTGGAGTGCAGATGAACCTTAAAAACAGTAAAACAGTAAATGAAAGCAGCCAGACACAAAATTTCATGTGTTAAGTATTCTATTTATATGTCATGTCAAGAATAGTTAAGCATATATACACGGAATGCAGGCTGGTGACTGCAAGGGCTTGAGGGGAGGAGAACATAGAAGAAACTGCTTAAAGATAAGAGGTTTTATTGTGGAATGATGCTAACTGGACAGAAACAATACTTGCATGTTATGAATGTACTACAGCCACTGGCCCATTCATATCATAATGGTTAAGAAAAACAATGCCCCTGTCCTAAAATCAGAATGCTTACCTTGCACACCATGGATGTCTTTGCTCCAAGCCTGGCAGCCTGGACACACTGGTTGGCACCTTTCCCTCCAAAGCCAATAAAAAACTTATGTCCATGGATGGTTTCTCCAGTTTTTGGCAAACGAGAAGTAAGACTATTATAATTTAAAAACAGAAAAGAAAAAAAAAGATAAAGCACATTGGTAACTGCAAGTGACATAAGTGCTTTAGAAGAGGAAAGGTTATCTGATGGAGTGAGCTTTAAATAGTCTTAATAGAGAGTCTTATAGTTTAGCAAGTAGAGAAGATTGCCTTTTCCCTTATTTAAGGTAATACTCTGGAGTTTATTTCACTATGGAGAATGTACCTCCTAATAAAATTCTTCTCTTTCCTACAGTCCATGTGGTAACTCTACTTGAGATGATAATACCTGGTGTTTCTACTGCACCACGGATATATGTATGGGGATCTTGGTTTCATTCTCCAATTCCCAGTGCCAGCACAGTTTTATTCACAGTGGGATTTGGTACATGGTATGAGGTCAGTGTGTTTCTGTATGGGTTGATCTGGTCACTCTAACAAGAAGCAGGAGGTATGTCAGGATTCCAGTGATCATGTTAGGACAGAGAAGTTGTAATTCCAGATAGTAAAGGATCCTTTCTGATTACTAAAGATGGGATATAGAAAGGGTGGGATTAGGTTGTGGTCCCAGTCCACAGCACATTTTATGTACTAACTCAAAAAGAACAAGTATTTAAAACAATGGATCATAAAGAGCAGAATTTAATTTTTACTATGGAAAATTTCAAACATAAAAATAAAGCAAATAGCATTCCGATTTCCTTTCCCTACTCATTTATCACCAAGATTCTATAATTATCAACTTACAGGCTACTTTGCTTCACCTAAACCTTCACTGACTCCACCAAAAGCTAGATACTTTTACCATGTTATTGCCTGATGACGATAGTATGAAATGGGGCAAACAGTGAAAGGTTTGTCCCAAGGTAAGGTTTTCATAACTGTGAAGACAGAATATGTGAGGAAACAAAATCTTGGAAGGATGGAAGGAAATGACTGACTTTAAAATGGAAGAGTTGTTCTGGGAATAGGGGAAATGAAGAAGGGATAAAGTGGCCTTGGGACCACGAGGAACAGATGGAGAAGAATTAGGTATGAACAAAAAGGTAAGTTTTAGATGAGAAAAGGCTAAGAGGTAAGTTTTCTGAGAACCTATGCTACTTTAGATTATAAATTTATATTAATTTATAGGTTGACAGCTGAAATAAACATCACAATGTATATTCCTAGAGTAATAGAACAATGCTAATTCTCACAGGTTACTTACAGCTTATTTGCAATGGGTAAAAGATTAAGCTCAACCTGTGAACCTCCTTTCTGTGGTTCTAAAAGTGTTAATAAATTGGGTTAAACTACTTTGTTCCCAAGCAGCACACTGTCAAATATGGTTGAGATTCAAAAGAGGTTCATCAATAATTTGAAAACATCCCACTCCTCTTCTTTTCAATTCTATTTTTATCTTAGATTTTAAATGCATTTATAGTACTGATGAAGAAAATATACATCTAGAAGGTTCACTTCTGAAAAGGTACTCAATCAAGAGAAAAATGGTTTTAATGTAATGTTATTATCCTGTCATTTAATTTAGCAATGACAAGTGATGATGAGATTTTGATTTGCATCAAAAATCTTAAACATTTTAGGATTCTGTTATGAACAGGCAATGATGAGTAATCTGTGTGACTGAGTAACTATGTGAATTCTTGGCTTATTGATGTCGTGACAAACAACACTCCTAAAAACCTTAAAAAAGAAAGAAAATTCAAAGTGGCTAAAAATGGGCCAAATAACTTAATTAGTGAGACTGTCACTAAAGAAATGTATGTCTTTCACTCTATTTATACTTAGATCTGGGTCAAAGTCACTGGTTTGAATCAAGTGCCTTTTTATTATCAGCTGTGGGAAATCATGAGAATTATGTGACCAGATTATTGCTGGGCTGAGTGTATGTAGAGGAGGGTGAAATCAGGGGTGCAGCGTGTGTGTGTCTGATGTGGGAGCAGATGGCTGGGATTTAAACTCATTTCTAAATACGTAAATGATATTAACACAAGCACTGCATTAATTCAGCAATCACTGAAATTCATCACTCCTTTGGTATTTTACTATTTTCCTTCCTCTTGCTTCTGCATTGTTTCCCTGTTCCTGCTGCTTTCTTCTTCCAATGGTACACTCTCCTTACATGAGGACAGGGACCAAATCTTCTATGTCTTCCATTTTAGCCAAAATGCTTGTCACTTAACATAAAGTTAATAGACACTTGCTAATGGAATGATTTTTTTTGTACCGCGAATTGAACTCAGGGCTTCACGCTTGCCAGGCAGGTGCTGTGCCACTGAGCTACATCCTTGGCTCAGGAATAAATTTTCTGAAGAGTCTCCTTTTGTCTCTTTTCTACGTCTCCCCATATAGCATCCATTTTTGCTTTTGAATTGAGGGTGTGGAGCTGCTGATTAGGGGCAGGAGGAGGAAACTGGCAGGGGTGACTGTATAATTTTCTGGTGATAACAATTCTATATTTTACTGAATTTTGCCTACTGCATTCCCAATTTTAGCAACATTTTCCTTCCATAGGCAAGAATTTCAACTTTCCTATCATTCCTTCATGTGTGCAATAATTCAAATGTCGATGCAGTGTTTCACAATTGAGCAAAATCAAATTGCTGAAAATGGGATAAAATTCAAGCCTGATGCAAATAGCAGATGAGGAGTGCAGAGAGTATGTTACAGAACACAAAGCTTCTTTTATGATCTCGTCTGGGTCTTTTAAAAAAAGGAAAGATATATGTACAGTCATACATTGCTTAATGACAGAAATATGTTCTAAGAAATGCACCACTGAGTGACTCTGTTGTTTTTGGAATCGCACTTACACAAACTAAATGGCAATATAATCCTGGGCAGGACCATCACTGTATATGCTGTCAGCCCGCAGCTGGCAGGAATGTCATGCATTCAATGACTGTATGTTCACATATGATATGTAAATGTATAGAAAGTTCAAAGCTTTTGACAGTTATCCACAGAACAGGTCAGGCCAAACATTTCATATTTTACTTTATATACTTATGCACATAAATGTATATCTAATATATTAGTGCATTACAGTATTCTACTGTTACTACTTCAGATTAATATGCTCCTGCCACCTTATTTTCTAAGTAACTGTTCTGCATGGATACACAGTGGCTTCTTGCAGATGCAACCTAAAGGGTCCTTATCCCATGCTACCTTTTTCCTATTGCAGAACTTCCCTGTTTCTGTGCTATGGTTCTTCAGGCTGTCCTAAAGGACTGAACAACCAGTTACATGGATGAGTGGCCAACTCAAGAATATAATTTGACTTTATAATGTGGCCTTCCTATTTCCCTGTTTTAATTTCTCTGCCCTTGCTCTTGCTTCCTCCAGTACAGTGCTGAGTAGAACATGTGGATGTTTGTTTTATGCCCTGCTTCTGTTTAGACAGACTAGGAGAGCTGGATACAGTGGCCTGTAGCTACAGTCCCAGCCCTTGGGAGGCTGAGGAAGGACTGCTATGAGTGGAGGCCCATCTGGATACTTGGTGGGTTCAAGGACAACCTCAACTACATAGCAAGATCATTTCTCACAAACAAATGAGCAATCAAATAAAAAAATCAAAACAGACTAAGATAGCTTGCTGAATGTTTTTTTAAAAAAGTAAATTTAAAGTAGAGAATGGGGAAGAGAGCAAGTAGAAAGTTAATTACAAACAGGCAGAATCATTTCTGAATTATAAATTCAACTTACTTTGAATTAGGCTCTCCTAATATTCTTATTGAAACCAGAAGATTATATTCAAGTTTAAGAAAAACTTGCACAAAGTACCACATCCTGGATATAATTCAAGGATTCTTGGATTTGCCCTATTTCAAACATAAGGTTTAACAGGTACTGAAGATAAAAGGCTGAAAGGAAGAGAGAGAGAAAAAAAAAGGAGTACTGGTAAAACAAAGGAAAACACTGGCTACCATTTGAAACTTAAAACAGACTAGGTGTGGTGATGCAAGTCTACAATCCCAGTACATGGGGTGCTCAGGGAGGAGGATTGCAAATTTGAGTTCTGCCTGGGTGACTTAGTGAGACCCTGTCTCAAAAAGGTTCTCAGTGTGAAGGTTCTCTGATATAGCTCAGGGTGAAGGCCCTGGGTTCAATCTTCAGTTCAAAAATAGTTTAGAGAAAAAAAATTTCTCAATGAGGATAAAATTCAGACAAGCAAAACTATGCTTAACACATGTAACTGAATGGAAGGCAAATTCATAGTTTTAGAAGATATATTTTTGAGTTGGACAGGAAGAACAGTGATATTTGTACATAGATGGTCTGGTAGTCTTCTTTGCCAGAAGTCACTTGGTTACAGCCTGGGTTTGAGGAAGGAGGCCTGAGCCATTTACTGATTATGTTACCTTGACAGCTTTTCCCTCTTTGAACCAGCTTCTCTTCTTGCAAAAACAGTTTAATAATACTTGTCAACTCCTGAAATGGTTGGGTTTTGTGCTCTGAGTTAATTCACTGACAGGTGTTACTAGAACAACTTATCAATTGCTTTTAACTTCTTGACAATGAGGTGGTTGTTAGAGACTCTTAGAAATTATTCCAACCAAAGGAAGAAATGACCTCGTGAGAGGGGAATGAGAAGTTTTTTCACTCTAACGGTGACATTAATATTGACTTCAGCCAAAAGCCAAGGAATATACTGCTTTAGGCTTTTCCATCAACTTTTCCTTCTTTGGGCTACAAGCTTCTAACATGCCATCAACATCCATAATAGGAGATTGTACATTAGTTTATACCCAATTAAAGTTCATTAACTAATTTATTATTCCTACGCTCTGTATTCTTCAACCATATCTGTTCTTTTCAGCATTTTCGTATGTCACATTTAAAAGGCTGAGAGTAATTTCAAAATCAAGTTGTCATCTGTAACAATAGGGATGAACTTAGAGGGCATTATGTTAAGTGAAATAAGATAGGCACACAGAGATAAATGCCTTATGATCTCATTTATTTGTGGAATCTCAAAAAGTTGAACTCACAGCAGTAGAGTAGAGCAGTG